CAGCTTCCGTGTGTGCCGTGGAATCTCGTAAATCTACAATCCGGCCGGGTGATTTAACCTAACGCGGAACGTCGATGAGAGGTGTTTGCAGAAACGTATCTGCGGCAATATCATTTCGTCTGCCGAATATCCGGCGAAATTGTGCACACGTCGAACCAGGCCGTCCTCTCCTTCCCCCTCGCAGCGGTCCTCCACAACCTGGTCACCGCGATAACAAATCCATTAGAGACGAACTTCAGCGCAAACAAATGCCGCACACAACAATCGTGGAGCAGAAATCGGCCATTTACACATTAACGTCGATCTGTCGCGCCCTCTAGATGTTGACAGCCGGCTAAAGCATGCCCTATGTATAATAGAAAAAATATTAGATCCATATGTGTGAGTAAAATATTAAATAAAAACAAAATAAACATTAAAATTAGAAAAAAAAAATTTTAATCTAATATTTACATATTAATTTTTAATTTTCTAAGAATTTAAATATTTATTTAGTATTTTTTCTTTAATATATTTAAATACATATTAAAACATTAATTTTTCATCAGGATTTTAAGTAAATTTTAAACGAAATTAAATATTGAGTTGAAATGAGCCAAAATTTTCAACATTTTTTTAACTATAAAAATATGATAATAAAATAAAATGCCTAAGCCCTCGCAAATGTGCGTAAATGATACATTCATAACGCGATAGATATTTAAGTATACATAATTCAATCAATTGGGATGTTGCTACCAAAACGAAATTAAAGTAAATGCGAATTATATTGGAAAAAAAGTCTTTTTACAAGTTGATAAGGCTTAGTAATCCATATATTCTATCTTTACAAAATTTACAATTCCATCAGAGATTTCAAGCTTTAAAATTTTTTTCTTAAATTTAAATTTTGATCGTTTTTAACTATCAAAAGATATTGATGGGGAAAGATCACCAACTTAATTGTGAAGAGACTGTTCCCCTAATCCAATATTATTCTCCTATTTTATTTTATCTCAATATGAAAATGTAATATAACATTATATTATGGGCTAATTGTTTACCTTGGTAAAATAAAAAAAAAAGCGCAACAATGAATTAATTAGCACCGCAAACTCGTGCGGACACTTACGAATAAGAATGCAAAAGTAATAAAAATAAATAACTTACGTCAGCAAAAGTTGCAAAGTGGAATGAGAATTATTTGAGAGTATATACCAGTATATATAAAAAGCCGCCAATCCAAATGTTTCTGTACATCTGCTCGTGTCTATAAGTTCTGGATTCCGATGATTTTTTTTGCACGGTGAAACATCAATGAAGTATTAACTTTCACATAATAAATACAAATTTTAATAGATCAATTGTTGTCAAGTCTGTCTTAAATAAGGTAAAATCTTACACAATTTTAGAACCTATACAAATATTTTTCAATAATAATAATAGAATTAAGTAATCTGAAATTTTAAAAGAAACGAATTTTCTGGCAGATACTTGACGCTTGACGAATCAAGTAATTGCATCTTTACACTTTTATTTTGAAAATTAAACAATTAAATGTGAGAGATTACTCTTCCACATGATTGTATTAATTTTGCTTTCGAGTAATTATTATAACTTACAATTAAATAACTTTTTAGTAATAAACCAAACTAGCTAAACCAAAATTTAGCTGTATAATAAAATTTAATCATTTGATATATAAATTACTTTAAACTATTCTTTAATTTTAAAGGATTCCTTTTACTAGTATTTTTTTACATACTTATTTATTTTTCTCCTTCTATTTACATATTTATAAAACCTCGATAAATAAATAATTCGATGATTAATCGTACGATTTAATATGTTTTTTCTAATCGACATCTTCTTCTTCTTTTTTTTCTTCTGTAACCTGATTTTCAAAAGATGGCTCAGTAATCATGCAGAGATATAACTTTTTTGAACTTCAATGGGCCAAAAGTCTTCTCAATCAATCGACGTGTTCATGTTCCGCATTACTTTCGAGCCATGTGTTCTGAATAAGTTCAACAAATTGTTGCCACCATCTGCTGCGCGATGTAAAGTACAATACGCAAGCAACTATAAAGATCCACGATAACACCAGGCAGTAATCCATTTCGTTAGAAGGCGTGCTCGAAACAGGCCCCGTAAAATCCGCCGATGTAACATATAATGAGCCATTCGGTTGCAAATTTGTTAAATGGGATACGAACTTAGCAAACGATTCCAGGGTGTAAATCGTATCGTTGAATTTGGCGACAGGCTTGCCATTGTGGACCAACATCAATGTTGGCACTCCGACTATTCCATACTGAGCATTGAAACTGAAAGCGATATATTTTTTTAAATCATACTATCAATTTCGAAGAAATTGGAAGAAATTGGGAGAAGAAATCAGGAGAAGAAACAGAGAATTTGATTTTCTTTCCGCGCTTCCTAATTTTGAAAATCAAATCTAGTTAGTCAAATTTATAAAAAACGAATTTTATCGAATGCTTGTTAGAAATTTTATCAAATGCTTGTTAAAAAGGTACTAATTTAATTTGAGTGAATTTTATTATAATTGATAATGTTAACAAATTGGTAGAAAATATATAAGAAAATCTGTTGTGAATAAATTGTCGACAAATCATATTTACAAAGTTTTTTTCCAACGATCTGACTAGTTAACAAATTAAGGATCAATATTTACTTAATTTTTGAGGAAAATTTGCTCTTAATCAGCAATTACGTCAATCAGCGAAATACAAGATTAATGTAGTTCGCTGAAATTTTTTTCGGCTAACTTGCTAATAATTTGCAAGCAAAATAATATTTTGCTGATTGTAAAAATGTACTTTTTCATTTCCTAATTTTGTACGCTCACCTTTGGTGTTTTATAGCATCAATTGCCACGGCTTTAATATGAGGAAATGAACGAGGTATAGCATTAAAATGTGGTGCAGCTTGACTGCTGAATACACACCACCTGGCATAAAATAACACAAGAACGCATGTCCCTGGTAATTGTTTACCATCTTTGTCATTTCTAGAGCGATTTGATGGACCAGGCTCCAACATTAATAGCTCCATAAGTCTTGTTGCATTGACAATCTGTAAGAAAAACAGATGTATAAGAAAGATAGCTCATTAGCATGATTTTGTTTGTTCCACATATTGTGCTATTTTATTTATAAAATTTGCAGAACCTCAACAGGGCCGTAGATCTTCTCTGATGAGCAATTAACTTTGGTAGTATTAGTTGAGACAGTATCGGTGACATTTACTGTGACATCAGACATATTTATTTCTACAGACTCATTCTTTTCGTTTGTATGAATCTCATTACTTTCTTCTTGATTGAAGGCATCCTCAGATACGATTTGTGTTGCAAGTTCTTCCGCAATTTCTTCACTGCTTATGACACTAACTAAAAGTTATAGATAATATACTTGATATTAATCCAAAAAATAGTTTAAAGCTGATAAAAATGTTCAAGCAAATATCACTATTTATCTTACAGCAGAGATTAATACATTCAAATTTGAGTTTGACAATTGTTTATGTATCCTCTAAATTTTTTGGAGTAAAATTTCATTCTAAAAAATAAAAATTGAGCCAATCTTGAAAAAGAGTGGTTTAATTTTCAATCTTTAAAAGTAAGATTTATTCTAAGTTTTAAAGAATAATTAATAGTTAATAATAGAAATATTCCTTTCATATAAAGAATGCATGATAAAAGAGAACTAAACAAAAAATTTTAATTAATTCTAATAAATCAAATATAAGTTCTTAAAATTCTAAATTAATTTTGTTTTTACTAATAAATTATTTCTTACCTAAGATTAGAGTAGGTATAATGAACCCTATAAAGTTTATTCTTAATAAGTTCATCTTTTACATTTAGCATTAAACTACTTGTGTTGCAATTAAATTGATAAACCAGTCTCGTAAAATCTGTAGATATAACAGAACATACAACAATCTGTTTAGTTGTTTGTTAGATGTCTTGATATTATACAAAATGGATCAATTTCATCTTCAACAAAAATTAGAAAGTTAAAATTTCTTTTATTAAATTTTCCTATGGGACATATTCTTTCCATGATTTTATACAACTTTGCTTACAATGTTGTGATTTTGCTTTTCTATCACAGCAAATTATTCCATTCTTTTCGTTTAATCTAAATGAATTTAGATTACAGGAATTTAGAATACAGGATCCTTGGAAAAGTTTTTCTTTAGCACTTTCACCAGGCGACTGTTTCAAGTTAAACAACAGC